CACTTATTCACCACCAATTCCTCTCATAGCTCATCGTATGAAACTTAAGTTTGATACCTTGAATATCAATGGCCTAAAATCTCATCTAACGGAACTATGTAATATGATTTCTAAGCATAATGTTAAAATCATATTTCTTTCAGAAAACGAAGCTGAACTAATCTATCAAAGGAATCAATCAATCTCCCAAATTTCCACATTGTCAGAACAGACAGAGTCGGCAGAGTCGGTGATAGTGTGGCAATTGCAATCCATAAGTCTCTCAAATTTAACGAACTTCCTTCCTCTACCAAACCTAACACCGAATATGTAGGTACAGAAATTTTAATTGACAATAAAAGTGTCTATCTGTACTGAATTTATAACCCCCCAAATATGTTACTTGACTCATCACTAATGAAATCTCTTTTTGATAAAAATCCCACTACCATTCTTGCGGGCGACTTCAATGCTCATGATCCTACCTGGAATGTCCAGGAATCCAACCATCTGGACCTGAATTAATCAACCTCATAACTTCCAACAACCTATTCCTATATCATCCTGACTCGCCCACCCATTTTCCGGGAAACGGTAACACCCCCAGTACGATTGACTTTGCTCTCACTAACAATTCCTCTATCATAAAATCATTCAACAACCTTCGCGAATCTCCTTCAGACCACTTACCTCTTATCCTCTCAGTCTCGGGTAAAACTTTTAGTGCAGTGGATACTTCCAAACTTAAATTCACGAATCTGATTGGCAGAAATTCAGAACGGATATCAATGCTGCCATCTCACCTAATTTCCCAAGTTGCTTATCACAGGATAAAATTGACAATAACGTCTCCCTTTTCTCATCAATAATTCATACAGCCATAGAAAATAATACTCTACGCTCAACTGCCTTCATCAAAGAGGAATCCCTGCCCCTCCACTTAACTAACCTCATCCAAACCAAAAACTCATTACGAACCAAATAGCAAAAAACCCGCAACCCCTTCCTGAAATCTTGGGTTAACTATTACCGCAGATCACTGCACCTTAAAAAGTCGGAATGGCGTAATAACATAGGGGATGCAAAACTAAATAAACTCAATTTGAAAGACCAATCCATATGACGAGTTACTAAATTCTTCAAGAACTCTCCCACATTCACCATACCTCACATCAATTCTAACTCGTCTTCGATTACTAACCTTAAAGGCAAAGCTAATCTTTTCGTCACCCACTACGCTAAAATCCACGAAGCTGCCGTTCATAGAGTTAACTCTTCCTTCTCTGAGCATGTTCTCTCGTCAATCAATATATCCTTATCTACTAACACCACTACCCTAATCAACCAACAAACATCCCCCAAAGAAGTCAAAAAGATCATTGTCAAACTCAAAAACAAATCAGCTCCTGGTGTGGATGGAATCCCCAACATAGTAATAAAGAACCTACCTCGGAAAGGTATTCTTAACCAAACTACTTAATGCCTGCAAATCCTACAGTATTTCCCAAATACTTGAAAATTAGCTGTTATTACCCCAATATTAAAATCTGGTAAATCTCCTTATGACCCAGTCAGCTACCGTCCAATAAGCTTGCTCCCTAATTTAACAAAAATCAAATTTCAAACCTCAACAAACTTATTTTAAAAAATGCCACCATCCCTGCTGCCCAATTCGTACTCAAATCCAAACAGTCCACCATCCACCAACTCCTTCGTATCACAATACCAATCAAGAGACTAAAATGGATACTGCCATGGTACTGCTTGACAGTGAAAAAGCCTTCGACTCTGTCTGGATCTCAAGCATTATTTATAAGTTAATTACATTAAACTTTCCTCTCTATCTGATCAAAATTATCCAATCATATCTCACTGATAGATTTATTCGAGATAGAGTTGACCAATCGCTGTCCATCAAATGAAAAATTGTAGCTGGAGTCCCGCAGGGCTCCATTCTCTCGTCAGTCCTTTTAATATATACATATCTTGTGTCTTCCGCAAAACACCTCTGCATGTTAACATAGCTGGCTTTGCTGATGACCTCGCGCTTTTCGCCTCCAGCACTTCGATAAACCAAACCGTCTCCAGACTTGAAAATGCTACTTCTCTTATAATAAATGAGTTGAATAAATGGAAGATTCAAGTCAACGCTTCCGAAACTGAAGCGATCATATTTTCAAAAAATAGACTAAATGTAACATAAAAATAAGAGGTCAACAAATAACTCCTTCTCCTAGTGTTAAGTATTTAGGCGTTCACATTGACAACAAACTTCTCTGGAAAAAACACATCGACTTGTCGAACTCCACAGTCAAATCCATTCTAGCAAGACTATACTTTTTCTCCAAAGCTCCAGTTTTTAGCACTAATGTCAAAATAATTCTCTGTAAGAGCCTGACCAGATCAGTCTTAACTTATGGGTGCCCAATATGGTTCAAAGCTGCGAAATATCATCTTGACAAACTTCAAGTGTCTCAAAACAAATTTCTGCGCATCATTGGGAACTTTAATTATAGATCATCCATTAACAACATCCATAATGAATTGAATGTAGATATTATCCGTTTCTACATCCAGAGATTAACCACCAACTTTGAGATCAATATAATTTAGCACCAAAACCACTTAATCAGCAACAGTAATGTCAGGGTCATGCGTTCGAATCTCGGTCAGGGCGGTAATTTTTAAGTTGATTTTATTCATCAGCAATTGATGAATGTAGTTAAATGTAGAGAATATCAATGATAAACAATTAATTAATTTGATTTTTTAATAATTTCATTTAATAATTGGTATGTGAATTGAAAGACTGGTTAGGCAATGAATTCCAAGCTTCGAAATTACAATTCAGTCTTGGCGGAAATCATTCTCCCAGTTATGCGCCATTACCGGCTGCATACACGGGGCCTTTCCAACGTCCCTTGACGGGGCCCGAGCTATCAGCCAGTATTCGGCCCAGTCATGGGTCAGTCTTCAAGCGTTGCGCCAAGCTTGGTGACTGACATGCCAAGCGTCGGCCATTGATTGGCCCTGGCATCAACCCCTACTTGCGCAAAAATTTGACATTTTCGCAGAAAATACTTGAAAGGCTTTTCTATTAAATGGCGCAATTAAAATTTCAACTAGTTGGCTAAGCTATTTGTTATGAATAAAATTTTAAAAAATAGGGGTCTCCCGGCCGTTGCGATAAATTGCGTTATAATTACGTCTTCTGCCTCTTTCTTGCACGTATTGTATTAGAGAGAGAGGTAGATAGACTGATGACATTTTACGGGTAGAATTTATCCTCCAGAAGGGTAAAGCTTGTCGCGCATCTGATTATTTTTTAATGCACACAATGAAAAAAAATTGAAATTTTCCTCATCGACTTATTTCTCTGCTTTTCCTTTACTTGAGTCTCATTTCTCCTCTTTTCCTTTTCTTAAGCGTCACCCCCACTTCGGTTGATCTCAGCGGCGGAGAAGGGCCTTTACGATCTGGGCCATCACCCAATACAATGCTTTCGTCTACCCTTTGTTACGCACTAATAGAGGTCGGGAGCACGACTTGCTCTCAGAGCAGAGTTTGCCCAGTCCTGGGCTAAATTATCCCAAGCCATAAAGTTTATGGCTGCACCCCCTTCGATCCCGTGATGCCCTGCGCGTAGGCAAGAATAGTGGTGATATTCCATAGAAACTTGGTGGTGGAAAAAGTAAAATAGGGAAACTCTCAGTTACTCTGATGGCAACTTCTTTTTAATCGTTACATTTTTTGTTGTTATTGTTTTGATTGATTGTTGCTTGTTTCTAATCGACTTCACAGAAAAAAATTCGTCCGTTTCATAGATATGATGATTAAATATTACCATGTTGTTAACAGATCTGACTTCATATGCATTTTCATACTTTTCGTTGTTATATATTTTTGGCTCTCGATACCAAATTAAAATGCACAAACTTCTCACTATAAAAAACGTCATCATGGTTCTTTAATCTTTGGAGATATTTAACGCATAATTTTTTTAAGCGACCAACACAGGTATATGATTTAATCGATTTCGATCAATTTCCATTCGTTATAAAGATGAATTCAATTTTTCTCAATTTTATTATGAAATGTGCGTTCATTATCGAATTGAATCACCACTTCGTTTAATGGCAATCGCAAGAAACCGCGCCAATTTTCTAGTCTTTAATGAAAATGTATTTTCCAGACTGGTGCCTGAAAAATACAATTTTCTGGTTGGTACGCATCGCAGCCGGAAACTAGTGTTTACCAGGGCCCGTGTCTGAAACAATTTCGTCAATTCTACGCCGTGGAAAGTATATTACCCTTCCCCACATGCTTGGCATGGTCGCCTTCGGCTTGGATGTCAAACTTGGCATGTGAGCAGTTTCACGAAAACGGTTCATGAGATTTTTCGTGAAACCATTGTTGTAGAACTTATTCTGTTTTAGGAAAAAGTTCTATGGAAAATTGGACTTCATAGTATGAAAAAGTCAAAATAATGGGAGGAATTTTACATAGACTCAACTTTTTGGGACTCATATTCAATGGTTTTCAGTAGACTATCAGCTCCTTGTAATAGAATTATTACATTAATCGCCTTCGAGCGTATTTTTTCGAAATTAAAAACGGATTTTTCATGAATAACATTATCAAAAAATTATAACGCGATCAAATTTTCTTTTTCTCGCTGAAAATTTAGCTCAGGCTTTATCGCGATGTTAGCCCCACCCCACAAATATTGGGCAACCTTTGTAATAACGTTAAGCCACCGATCATTGGAGCCTAAAAATTTTATGGCTGCACCTCCGAGCCTGCCTGCAGTTGCCCACCTCTGATCGATGAGCATACATTACAAATACATATACACTACAGATAAAAATACAAATACCAAGGCTTAAAAATCATAAATTGATAGTTTACTGATCGGAGAATAAAATTGAAAAACCAAGCACTAGAATGCAGATATGGAGATCATGGGCAGTGAACTGTCGATAAGGAATATATATAGTGGAAAGCATTGACACTATTCACTGTTCATTTGGCTTCATCTACGTCTACTACATACACTGCGATATTGTAGCCGAACGGCTTGTCGAAAACAACATTAGGAAGTGTGAGTACAAGTTTAAATCGTTGACAGTTCATGCAAATTAATAATTTCTAATTATACTATTTCAAGATGCTATAAATAATGATTTATTATTTAAAACTATAATGGTAAATTCAGTAGATTTCTAATGGCGAGTGCTGCTCCGAGAATTTTTTTTTTCTTCTATCCCGACCCTTTCTGTCTCATTTTTTGGTCAATTGACTGCATCCCACCCTATGCATGCGGCTGTGGATCCTACACTGTACCGTATTTACTCTCCTATAGAACATAAAAGTGAAATGGGAAACCGCAGGAAAAACAATGTCGGTACAGGCGGTTGCTCTATTAGCAACCTCCGCTCATCAGTGGCTGTTGAAAAATTCGATTCAACGGAGAATCGAATCTACAACTTCCAGAACACTAGGCTCGCACCTACCTAGTGAGCTACCGACGTCGGTGCTCTGAGACTTATCCAATAGTCTGACTTTCATCAAACTATTTCTATTCAGATAGAAATTTATGACCATCAGGCAAGAGAGAACATTTAGAAATAGATTTTACGGATCCTTCGTTCTCTGGCAATTCATTGTTGCGAAGGAAACCAAAATAAATAATATATATTTTTTTATATGTCCAGTATTCGATTACTCATATTCGTCTTCATTTAAATGTTTCTAAATCGGACGGTCGAGCGGTATTCGGAAAATAATTTTGTGGTTTAAATTTCACTGATGAAGAATGCATATTAATCGATAGCGGAGCGATTTCACGATAGCGGAATAAATGGACTGCTATATTTTCACTTACTCTCTCATTTTCTGCACACAATATGCATTCAAATTGAAGTCTGCTGACTGAAATTCAAATGTTTAAAATCGCAGTCTAAATTGAACTAATGTACGTATCATAACTGCAAAGTAACTGCAAAGAGATTTTATCGTTACTAGAAAATACATGTAGTAAAGCAGGTTAACGGGAATAGGTAGCGATACCTAATTTCAGCTGAAATAGCCGTGTGACAGATAGTGAACAGTGCATCAAACGACGACCACTGAGAGCATTTCGCAGGCGAGTGAAACCAATCGCACAATGTCGAGAAACGTGGTCAGACCATTTTCCCGCACACTGTGAGGGTTGACCATCGTTGTCATCATATTTGGAAATAACCAAGTGTGTTAGAGACTTCAAGGCCAGGCGTACAAGCGTGCTAACTGGATGGTTCCAAAAGCCCTATCTATTTAGATTAGGGACCAACCGCTAGGTGACAGAACTAGCGCCACCGTGATCCCGCCGAGCTGATTGAGGGTTGTGGGGTAACGGATGATCCACTGTTACTGAGATGTTCAGAATAGGAGGAGAAGGCTCTGATAGATCTCGAGGCAGTTAGCACCGAGTGCTGGTTTTGAGAGAATGCTTTAGGTGGTCGATATCAGATGGTGTCAATAGACTTTTAATATGATTCTAAAGATTATGATAAATACGTTGTTCTGGTATTAAATTCGAATAGAGAAAGAAGGAAACACTTACATGTCCCCGACTAGAGAAATGGCTTGCGGTGTTTCAAAGTAATGGTAGCCTTTTGTGGTATATACGCATTTATACAGTGAATTGATTCTTGCTCAGTCACTGAGCTACTTCCTCCGTGACTAAATCGGCATCGAGCTCAGGAGGAATTCGCTCGAACGTTCAGCTACTCGCGTAATTAACTGATAAAAAAAAATATATTGATGAAACTTCGGTCGATATACACGTTATTAACTTCGATGCACTTGATACTTTGATCCTCAGCTTGTGTGTTTGCTCTGTCCCGCTCCCGATCAGACGCTGGTCTCTATTCAATCCAGAGAAACGCTTAAGGCTCATCAAAGCTCTCAGTTGCAAACTTAAGCATTCTTACGGTTGGTTTCACTAATACAGTGCAGTGCCATAATTGACACAGACTAAAACAGGCAAACAGTTAATCCCATCTGAATGGATGAATTCAAGCAAACTGTGGTACTGCTGACAATGTCTGGATGACAGGAAAGAGCAATTGTATTTCTCGTTCTCATCAGCCATTGTTATAATAAAGTTGAATATATTTAATTACAAAAAAATCGACGTTCTTATGGACCCCAATACGCCACGTCATCAAAAATTTTCAATTTGTGGATAATTATTTGATTTCCTTAGTGGTTTCCATGAAATTGATTTATTTTCAATTTTTTACCACAGCAACTATAGAATATTCTGATCTTCGGATTTTTTCAAATGAGAATTATGATGTCAATCGAGGACTTTTGATACCCTTTTTCCGGTACTTTCCTAATTTATTGAAATTAAAAATAATAATTGAACCTGACTGATCGATCATGATGTTGATGTACCTGACCTTTTATAAACATTTTCAGATTACGGGAGCGAACCAAATCTACTGAGATGTGGCTTATTCCCATTCTTCTTGTAGTCTTCTCCACCGATTTAGTGATAGGAAAGGAAATCCAACATGGAGATTATCTATTAGACATTGAAGATGACATTCTGCGTAGTATAGTAGCAACAGCTGCCTCGAAACACCTTGACTTGGCTACCCTGAAGCTTAAAAAAGTTGAAGAAAATGTTTTCGATAATCTAACAAGCATAAAAAGCTTGGATCTCCATAATAATAATCTTGAGGATCTTCCAGCCTCACTTTTCTCCAAATTGACTGAACTGGAAACTCTATCACTGGCTGATAATAAGATTTATCAGCTGAAGGAAAATACTTTTCAAGGATTAAATAAATTAAGATCTCTCAATATTTCTAATAATTCGTTGCGACATTTGGAAAGTGGAGTTCTGCATGGTCTCACTCAATCTGTCGACATAATAATAGAAGGAAAAAAATTATTCACTATTTCAACAAGAGCCTTCATAAATCCAGATAATCAACGATCGTTGACGGACATATCCGAACCACCACGCCGAATAGAATTACCGGAAGAGCCCATCGCCACGGAAATTCCTGAAGTATTGGACCCGAACTTGCAAGCAAAAATCTGCACAATAAATGATGGCACTGTTACGTCAGTGGAGGAATTGAAGAAAGATGAGCCGCTTGGTAATTGTACAACGGTCATTATCAACTATGAAGAAAGAAAACTAATTCTTTCAGGTCTAGGTCTTAAAAAATTCCAGAAAGGCTGGTACAAATTATCAGCATTTCCGATCGCTGCCATTGATCTCGGTAGCAATGAAATAACTGTAGTCACCTCGGAATTACTTAACGAATTGCCCAAAGGGTTGACCACAGTTTCTTTAATGAAGAACAAGATTGAAGTTATCAGAAAAAATATTATAGAGAATGAACATCTCCAGACGCTCATCATTGTGCATAACTTGATTTCTACCATTGAAGAAGGTGCTCTGGAGAAAACTAAATTAACAAATCTTGCCGCCTCCGGGAACCGTTTGAAGAGTTTATGCTTTGCTAAAACATTACCATCTACTCTTGAAGTATTGACAGCCAATGAAAATGAAATTGAAGAAGTTCCTGAAGAATCTCTAAAGAATTTGCCAAATCTTTTGTATATCAACCTCTCAAAAAATAATGTGACTGAACTGCCTGCAAAAGCATTTCGAGGTCTGAAGAAAGCCAATACCATTGATTTATCCTCTAATCTATTAAGTCAAATCCATCCTGGCACGTTCGAAGACCAAGAGAAATTAGTCACTATTTACTTAAATGAAAACCGCATTATCGAAATTAATAAGGGCTCCTTCAGAGGCTTAAAGATTGTTAAATCCATTTACCTCGATAATAACAAAATCAAAAAAATATCGAAAGACTCCTTGTCGGATTTAAAAGAGAAGCTCGGATATTTCCTATATCTTAATGACAATGATATCGACATTATTGAAGAAGGAAGTTTTGCGAATGTGGCAGTGCTAAATCTTTATCTGCAAGGAAACAAAATTTCTTCAATTCCAGCTGGCGCCTTCAATTCTCCTATGCTTACGAACCTTCATTTGGGCAATAATCTCTTTACAACAATTGATGGAGATTCATTTGCTGGACTTCCACATTTGATCAACCTTTATTTGAACGAGAATAGAATAACGAGTATAAAGAAAGGTGCTGCTAAAAATTTAGGGAATCTTCAAGAGCTTGACATATCCAATAACCCATTGGAGTGTCTTGAGAATAGTGCGTTATACGGATTAGGGAAAGAAAATGGTTTTATATCCATCGTTAACTCACCTATCAAAGTTATTCAAGGAGGAGTTTTTACAGATGTTTAACATTTTATAATCTTTGTTCCGATGGACGCGACATGCTTATCAATTTACATAATATATACATAAATAGTTCCTTGAGTACATATAGAAATTCTCAAGCTTAAAAAATTTTGCTGAAATATAAAATCTCATTCGCAATGACCGCATGACTTCACTTATTCCAAATTTTGTTCAAGTATTTACATGCAAAATGTAAAAAATTGAGAGGGCCTTTTCATTAATAAAATATCTCCTTAAACATTCCGTACCTCTTTTTTTGTCAACACAATTTTCTTCTTTACAAAAAAAAACCTTCGTAATTCTCTTTAGATCCTACAATCTCTCAAAATTTATACACTCTCAAAAAGTGATCAGAAAAAAACACAGTGATCAATCGTGTCAGCCTTTCCACATTAATATGAATTACAATTTAAAAATCGTCACTAGGACAATATCACCAACTGATTTCTAAATTTGTAAATTATTTTTGAATTCGGATGGATTGTAACACTATGATTCATGGAAGCTTACGTAAGCTGCTTTGATGATTTTAAGTGCTTGTTACTATTCCAGGTTGATACCTGTACTAAAAAGCTTCAGTAATTTTAAGGAATTATCTTCTACTGTCTAATGCCATTTATATTTTGCAGGAGGCATCAGTGATTCAATAGAAAACGCATCCCATATATTTGTTCGACATTCACTTATCACTGGCATGGCACTTAGTACACGTCATTTTGCAGATTGAACCCTGAACTATGTAATCGTCCTAGTAATGAGTGATAGAATATGAATGTTCGCATCGCCTGAGGCAAGACACTTTCTGTTGTGTGACCAGCCGTATATGCCAATTAATAAACAATGTAAAGTTACATACAATCTCTTGATTTGTTGTTGATGGAGTCCCGTAGAAAGGGTCTGTATAATTTCAAATCGAAGTATTTTGTGCACATTTCAGGAAGGAAAATATACACTAAAATATATAGAAGCCGGCGCAGAAAATTTTAGCAGCTATATAAAATCTCTCGCTCTAAAATTGGTAAGTTCAAAGATTATTAGTACAATTAATCTATAATTATTAGTAATTGTGGATCTCCAGTGACGCGCATTAAATACGTTCCCTCGGACCTGGGATATTTAAAACAGTAATTGCGGGGAAAACCCGCAATAAAAACATTCTCCTCGATGATTTCTTTTCTGCGAGTTTTCATCGAAGGATTTGTTGATTGAAAAGAAAACCTGACAAACGAAAGAAGACAGGAAGAGATTCCTCTCTGAACAGCAGTTTAGTGCATTGTGGCGTAGTAGGTTACCAGAAAATTCGATTTGCCTATCATGTCAGTAATAGAGAAAGACATAGAATTTAGGTGGAGTAAGAGGGAATTAGTAGAATTGTTAAAGAACTTGACAGCTCGCCATATGGATATGGGTCTGCCAAAATAAGTTTATTTAATTTTGTATCCCATATGCTGTTACGCCATTCAGATATTCTAGCGTGGATATTTCTACGGTAATAATTAACGATTTGATTCATAATGAAATGTAACAGTTTTCGCTGATCTCGTCCCGGAGATCAAGGATAATTCTTACCTTCGTCCGGTCCCACACTCGCATCCTTATTTCCTAACCGAATTAATGGGCGCCAGCTAAGTTTTTGTGGATCGAAAGCTAACAAATCCTAAAAGAACCAAAAGAACCGAAGCAACCGGACGAGCGGGATGGAACCTCACCTGCGCAACCACACAAAATCTATAATCCCCTAAACCATAAAATCCATAAAACCTATAAATCCGTAGTTAACGGAGAAACTAATTACCGGAACGGAAGCGGAAAAGCCTGGGCCACTCAGGATGCTAGGTTGTAAAGAGAGTATTAGCGTCCACCGATACGCGAGTCTAAGCTGCACGGAGAGAAAAACACAGGAAAAATTACGTGACTAATCACGTAATCGTGGGCTGGAGTGTCATTTCCTTAATTTTTACTGGAGAATTTGGGAAAAAATGAGAGACGAACAGTGAATTTTATTATTTGCTCTGGAAAATTTACGTGACTGTCACGTAATTTCTTACGAACCTGTAAAATTTACCACAGCTCCGGTTAAAATTATTCCGGGTGAAGTAAAAATTATCTAGTTTCACTTGAATTTTACGTGACGTACCGTAATTTTTACGTGACCGAATTGAAAAATTAGACAGCGTTGGTACGATTGTTGGTCATACCCGATCGCGAATCATTGCCTATGTTCGGATCACGCCACCGGCAAATTACTATTGTCTGAAGGATAATTAGTATATTGTGCCTCTAGGGAGTAAAGTATTTTCTGACGAAATGTGAGTATAATCACATGAGTCAGAAAATACTTTATTTCCGTGAGGCACACAATATGTTATTCTCATAGGGACCGGAAACGGCGATCTAACCGAGCGAAGCAAGGTTAGAAGCGTACTTTCCAGTCCCGGCAAAATTTACGAAACTGAGTATCGTTATTTTTCTACCTTCAAAGGTCACTTTTTACCGACCGAGTGGTGAAATGTTCTGAATGATCGGCACTTTTTCCGATTTTACATTTCGCCCCACGTTTACCTTTCACACATGAATTTTTACGGAACTTTTTACGTATTTTTTCCAGTATTTTTCTCTCCGTGTAGAGTTTAACCAATACCGAAAAAAGAAAAACAGAATACAAAAAAGTGTAAACGAGGTAAGATACCGATAGCAAGTGCGTGTGAGAATCCGGGGCCCTGATGACGCCGTCACCGACGTCATCACCGGGAGCATCCGTAACCGTAACCAGAACCTAGGAAAAAGCCCGGCGAGCATATATTTAGCTTGCCTGATAGCGTTTCTACCGAGGCGTGGTAGAAACCTCTACTCTACCTCTAGCAACTAGAGGTGGCCCTAAACATAGAAAGCATACCGGCGAGGATAACCTTAAACCTAAGAGCTTATCGGGGAGGATAACCTGAAACCTACAAGGAGAGAAAAATACTGGAAAAAATACGAAAAAGTTCCGTAAAAATTCATGTGTGAAAGGTAAACGTGAGGCGAAATGTAAAATCGGAAAAAGTGCCGATCATTCATTTTCATTTTACCACTCAGTCGGTAAAAAGTCACCTTTGGAGGTAGAAAAATAACGATACTCAGTTCCGTAAATTTTGCCGGGACTGGAAAGTACGATTCTAACCTCGCTTCGCTCGGTTAGATCGCCGTTTCCGGTCCCTACGAGAATAAAATATTGTGTGCCTCACGGAAATAAAGTATTTTCTGACTCATGTGATTATACTCACATTTCGTCAGAAAATACTTTACTCCCTAGAGGCACAATTAATTATCCTTAATTATTATTAATTATCTTTCCGATAATAGTAATTTGCCGGGTGGCGTGATCCGAACATAGACAATGATTCGCGATCGGGTATGACCAACAGTCGTACCAACGCTGTCTAGGAATTTTTCAATTCGATCACGTAAAAATTACGATACGTCACATAAACTTGAAGTGAAACTAGATAATTTTTACTTCACTCGGAATACTTTTAACCGGAACTGTGGTAAATTTTACAAGTTCGTAAGAAATTACGTGACTGTCACGTAAATTTTCCAGAGCAAATAATAAAAATGACTGTTCCTCTCTCATTTTTTCCCAAATTCTCCAGTAAAAATCAAGGAAGTGACACTCCAGCCCACGATTACGTGATTAGTCACGTAATTTTTCCTGGGTTTTTTTTCTCCGTGTAGAGAGCATATCCAGCTAAGGCGAGCATTGGGTGGCCTACTAGAGGCCAGTAAGAGAGCGAGTGATCGACGACGTTAACTGAGCGCCAGCCGGAGCGGCTCTGTCGAGTGAGTGAAGAGTGTAGGCCTTTAAGGCACTCCTCCCCACTCTCGACTCACGAGTAGGTACACTGCACTGATCTCTATATAAGTGGATTGTGGATCACTGATCTCTATATAACTGGATAGACTATCGCGTATACCCCTGGTGAGGCCGATTTGAAAGTCAATCAGCGCCTCCGAATAGTAGTCCGGGAACTAAAGTTCTATCAAGTGGGCATGCTCAGCGCAGTTGTCAGTGGAAGGGGAGAAGCCACTGATCTCTATATAACTGGATAGACTATCCCTATGCCCCCACTACGCTGACACTGAGGCAGTATTGTAGGATAAGCAGCGCCTCAGAATAGTAGCTCGAGTACTACCGTGCCCTTGACTGCGCATGCGCATCACCCAATGGAGGGTGATCTCGGATAAACACACTGATCTCTATATAGCTGGATAGACTATCCCTATGCCCCCACTACGCTGACACTGAGGCAGTACTGTACGACAAGCAGCGCCTCAGAATAGTAGCTCGAGTACTACCGTGCCCTTGACTGCGCATGCGCATCACCCAATGGAGGGTGATCTCGGATAAACATGCTTCTCCCCTTCCACTGACAACTGCGCTGAGCATGCGCACTTGATAGAACTTTAGTTCCCGGACTACTATTCGGAGGCGCTGATTGACTTTCAAATCGGCCTCACCAGGGGTATACGCGATAGTCTATCCAGTTATATAGAGATCAGTGGGAGAAGCATGTTTATCCGTGATCACCCTCCATTGGGTGATGCGCATGCGCAGTCAAGGGCACTGTAGTACTCGAGCTACCATTCTGAGGCGCTGCTTGTCCTACAGTACGGCCCACTGATCTCTATATAACTGGATAGACTATCGTGTATACCCCTGGTGAGGCCGATTTGAAAGTCAATCAGCGCCTCCGAATAGTAGTCCGGGAACTAAAGTTCTATCAAGTGCGCATGCTCAGCGCAGTTGTCAGTGGAAGGGGAGAAGCATGTTTATCCGAGATCACCCTCCATTGGGTGATGCGCATGCATAGTCAAGGGCACGGTAGTACTCGAGCTACTATTCTGAGGCGCTGCTTGTCCTACAGTACTGCCTCAGTGTCAGCGTAGTGGGGGCATAGGGATAGTCTATCCAGTTATATAGAGATCAGTGGTACGGCCTCAGTGTTGGCGTAGTGGGGGCATAGGGATAGTCTATCCAGTTATATAGACTCTATATTATAGAGATCAGTGAGTAGGTAAGGTTGACGTGCGCCGTGGCGTGCTGCCCCTGTCGCAGCGTGGGTATCCCTGACATAAGCTTCTTCTGAAGCGCGCTGAGTTCAAACGTAACCCAGTAACCACTTCAAACAACCCCTCCGAAGGATTAGCCGTTTGAATGCTCGCCCCATTCAAAAAAGAGCGTTCATACGCCAGTATGAGTCATAT